ACTCGTTCCAAAGGGGGTGTGGTATATGGGTTCCCCTGCCTGTGGCAAAGGGGGAAAGGGGTGTGGTTTATTGGGTGGCACCCTGGGTTCCCTTGTTCAAGGCAGGGTTGATAGTCGGTGGGTATCGGTGGGGAAGGGGGGTAGGAGGTCAAGGGGAAGGGTGGAGGGGGGGGGGCAGAGGCTGCGCAGACGGGATCGACCTGGCTCGACGAGCACTACAAGAAACGGAACTGGCAGGTCCGTGTGCTTACGGATGCGCAACGAAAGTGCGGCCATTTTTTGTTTGGCAGGACTACTGTTGTAGTTCGTGTGTGCTCCGCTTCTTCACGAATCACTCCCTGCATTTATGCGGATGCGCAGCGTGCGGTCACTTTTGTTCAGCAGGATTGTTGTGTAGTTTTTGTGTGTGCTACGCGTCTTTCACGCCACACTCCCCACTTGTACATGCCGTAGGTGTCGAAATATAGCACACCCCTGTACTGATTTTTTCAAAGCTGAATTCTTACACAGCAGCGAGAGTGGCGGAGCCGAAAATGGCGGCGTCGGAACCGCCTTGTCGAGAGCTTTCCGAGATCGTTTGACGTGTACATCCTCCTCATAGCTGTGAGAACCGATCCAAGAGGGTGTGGTATCTTACGTCATGTCACCTACGGTAGGTGAGGGCTCTCTTAATAACTAATACAAATTTCTGTTGATGGACCGTACGAGATATTCAGACATTTATTAAATCTCCCTCTGGGAACCATGCAAGGTCAATGGTCTCAAAAAACTACGGCATGCACGACTGTGAGTACCCCCCCCCCCCCCCCCCCGTCTCTGGAAACCACTCAAAACGCTTCCGTCTTTGACCACGTGGCCAGAGCAAGGAGAAGGCACTGCGAGAGGAAATGGCGGCCAACAAGGAAAGGGAGGCCAAGGAAAACGCCGACAAGAAGGGAGTCAAGCCCAAGAAGGTGAGGAAAAAAGGGTTATTTTGTAGATAACCTACAGATTTCGCCCACACTTCAAGAGTCTCTAGTTTTTGCCGAGGTTGTTCTTACAATAGTTCCTCTTGTGGGCTGCGAATGGCCGCCACATTGAAGGTTTCGCGTAGGGGGTAACTTACCCGGGATAAAAAATGGTGCTCAAGCTCTTTGCGTTTTGATCAAAAATGTCAGTACAATCCTTCGAAGGGTTTTTCGACTAAGTAAACGTGTTGGATCAAGCATGCAATCGGGCAAGTTGGGGCAGGGTTAGGGGTGATAGATTATGCGTACCCCCTCTCTGTTCTATTTCCTCGTAAGTTGCCAAGTTCTTTAAGCGCGGGCGCTGTGTGTAGTCGGGAGGAACCTAAATAGGCGAGCTTCGTGACGTTTGTTTAGGGATGGTTGCCGTAGGCTTGCATACGTGAACACGCCACCTTTTCAGACCGATTTCAAAGCTCGTGCAGCGAAGTCAGGAGCGGTGCCGGGTGGTGGTGATGTGAGGCGAAACGAAACGGCTCAACAGGATCGTCAAATTCGGTGGCACCTTGTTTTGCAGGCGTCAAGGGCGCCCGCCGGGTAGTTGCGCAGATCTATTTCTTCCGCGACCCAGGAAACGCCTAGTTTTTTTTTTTTTTTCCCAAATATTTTTATCTTTAGTACCACGAATCTACCTTTGCGATAAAAGCGCCCGCTCTCTTGTATGTTGTGGAATATTGGTGTTGAGGATCTGCGAACGACTCTGTCACGGTAGATGGAGAACGTTTGTACGTCCAAGGATAGTAATCGAAATCAAGCAAGCACGGCAGGAAGGGTGGAGGGAGAGGAATCCTTCTGTTGGACCACGGGTTGGGGCCAGCTCCTTCACGGCAAGAATGCTGTGTGGTGTGAGCACTGATTTAAATAAGGTGGTGAAAAAAGCAAAGAAAGGATTCATGTGTGGCTGTATCATACTTCTATGAGTTTTGAAATTGTTCGAATGACTCTGTCAAGGTGCGTTTTCATGTCAAAGGATGAAGTAGGGTACCGTATGAGTTTTGACGATCTTTGAACTACTCTGTGAAGGTGGAGAACATTTTCACGTCCAAGGCTTCGTCTGCGGTGCTTACCCAAGACCTGCTAGACATACAGCGGTTGGAGCAAGAGCTGGGCATGGAGGTAGAGGCCGTCGACGACAACATTTTCCACTGGAAGGTGTGTACTCTACGCCCGTTGTGTTGTTGTTGGTTGTTGGTTGTTGGTGTGGGTGGTGGTGGTGGTGGCGTCGTTGATGATGGTGTTGGTGTTGATGTTGGTGTTGCCGTTGTGTCCACATTGGATAGGTACGTTTGTGACCTGCCTGCCTACTTCTCTTTCGCGCTCTTCATGGGCAAGCAATCGAGGTCCCGTGTTTTTTCAAGCCAGCCCCACGTCGTGGTACAAACGCAAGCATTTTCGAAACTTGATGCATTCACCCAGCGTGCGTCCTACACTCACGAAGAATAAGATTTACAAAGAGACAGCCAAGCAGAGTGAGGCGAGAGAAGAAACCAGAAGGGAAGTTTCCACGCGGCCCTCTAACCGTGAAAGTTCTTGGCGGAATGCTTAGCAGAATGCTTCGCGGAAAAAAAATATGTCGTTAAATCCGTGGCGAGAAATAACGTCGAGCACAGCGGCAGCAATTGTGGCGTGAGCTCTGGAGGCTGTGGTATTTACAGTCTTCCCGATCGTGTACCTGTGGCGCTGCATGAAAGCATTTCTTGACGGCAATGGGAGTTGCGCTGCTGCCGTTCGTGCCGGCGGCGCTGTTGTAACCGCTTCTTGCGGCAACGTTGGTTGCGGCACTCAGGTGAAGATCAACCGGGTTAGCGACACGAGCCCTCTGCGCGAGGACTTGGAGAAGTTGCGGCAGACGTACGCCTACGGCTACGTGGAGATGGAGCTGACGTTCACCATGGACCTGTACCCCTTCTACCCCCCCCTGGTTAAGCTGGTGGGTCCTTGTGGTACTGTCGTCGTCGTCGTTGTCGTTTTTTTTTTTTTTTTGTGTTGTTTTTTGTTTTTGTTGTGGTTTTGTTGTTGTTATCGTTGTTGGTGGTGTTACTGTTGGTGGTGGTGTTCCCGGTGTTGTTACTTTTGTCAAGTGTCGTGAAGTGCTGTTTTTGCTCATCGTCACCGCGAGGTGCCGCTTGCTCCCATCCGCCCCCGCCTTTTTGCGAAACTCATGCCATTTTGCGAAGTGGCCTATATAATACGAGTAAAGAAAATGGGAAGGCAGGGGGGAACGGCTTGTTTGTGGCGTGACGAAAGAGAACGAAAAAACGAAAAAAGTATGTACCCTCGCCTTCCGTACGTACTCCCACCGTACGAGCCACGAGCAGCCCCGCTGGTAAAACCATAGCGCCTACGTGAAACGAACGAACAACAACAGGTGCGACATTAACGGATAGAGAAACGTCAGGTGCGACGTAAGCCTCCGTGAACCGAATGAACAACAACAGGTGCGACATGCTTGAAACGAACGAAAACCAATAGTTGAGACCAAACCGCAAACGCCTCCTTGAAATGAATGAAAGATAACAGGGGCAACCAAATCATAACGCCTGCGTGCAAACGAACGATCCGACAACAGGTGCGACCGCGGTTCCAGGGCTTCATGATGGGCCGCATCACTAGCCTCGAGATGCTGCAGCTGTCCAAGTGGTCCAGCGTTCGAGGCATGAAGGGGGTGTTGCAGGGGATCAGGACGGCCCTCGAGACCTGGGGGCGTCTCGACCTCGGGAGGTGCGTTTTTTCTTTTCTCTTCTTTTTTTCGCTTTCGAGTAAGATTTCACTGCTGTAAGAGCATTTCTGCCAGTGACTCTTCGTTTCATTTTTCCATCGCCATTTTGTTTTTCGGAAGCATACATACAATCACCGCAAGACTACCTGTTCATAACCACAGTCGAAGAGGATGTGTTGAACGTGTACTCTACCTTTCTGTTGTTGTGCTTTTGAGCTTTTTGTTTGATGTTGGAGAGAGGTGTGATACTGCATCTGCTTTTGCTTGAAAGTGGCTTCTGTCGCATCCCAAGGCTGGATGTTCGCTGAACTCGTCCGCCGTTTCCATGGCCGAGCAAGCAAATGCGGCGGCAGTCCACACCGGCCTTCTTGGTTGTAGATCGCGATCGATCTTGACCTGCTTACGCTGTTGTTTGCACTCGGACGCTGTGCCAAATGATGCCTCGTGTATGTATGTTTTGCTTTCATACGCAATGGGATCCGAAAGGGGATCCGTTTCTCCTGTAAATTGCACCATACCCTGGTAGTCGAGATGCTGTGTACCTCACGCTTCTCACCGTACCCTTACACTACTCCCCGCCCACCCCGCTCTGTCAATGTTCATGTGTCAGTTGGGTGTTGTACGCAAGTCTCATTTTTGTAGAGACCGACTCACTAGTATGATCCTTACACCTTACATCCCCGGTCTCTTCATCCGTCAAATGCCTCGGAAATCTCTTGCGCCATCATGATCGTGAACATGCACATCATGACCTGATCATGAACATGAACATGGACGTCATAATCTCATCATGATCATGAACATGAATTCATGTCCTGATCTGAACATGAACATGAACATCATCATCTTCATCATGATTGTAGTGAACATGAATATGAACATCATGATGTCATCATGAACATGAACATGAACATGAACGTCATCATCTCATCATGATCATGATCATGATCATGAACATGAACATGAACACCATCTCCTGATCATGAACGTGAACATGAAGATCGTCGTCGTGACCATCCTCCTCCCTCAGTGAGCTGAACGACGTCATCGTGCACCCGGAAGGGTCGTACACCGAGCTGGAGCACCTGCTCATGCGGCTGGGGCTAGTGACCGAGATCAGACCCCACGCGTCCATGCAATGCGACGAGGACGCCCTGCTGCTGGGGCAGGAAGTAGGAGGAGGAGGAGCGGAGATGGAGATGGACGAGGCGGATGACGACAGTTCCCGACAGTGAGTTTGTTGCTTTATTAACCTCTGTTTGGAAATGTAGGGACCGTTCTGGTTCGTACGCATTGTCCTTATATTCCCGACCAGGCGCACGTCCGGAGTGGGCTCATCACAGCATACTGTAGCAGTAGTGTCAACAGGGCGTGACGCGAGATGAAAGTACAGCATGCGTTGGTTGTGAATCAGCTGACGCCAGTGACGTTTCCGAAGGTCGAACAGCCCGCACAGCTGACGTGTTTTCGACTCGAACAGCCCAACGAACCTGAACGAACCGCAAAAAAAAAAAAAAGACAAATCTGTACCATACAGTTTCGTGCCATTTTGCGGATAGATGCGTAGAATGTTTTTTGGGGGGTCGCCACTTGTACAGCAGTAGAGTGTCCATTGATAGTGCTTCCATATGCCCAGAAACTTCATCGGTACCATACCAGGCACCGAACAGAACACTATTCCAACCTGCATCCATTTTTTTTTTTTTTTTTCTCTGAAAGGTGTACCCCCCCTTTGGTGGGGCAGTTGACTTGTGACCACGGAAGGAAGGAAGGCGCCCGCGTCAGTTGTACTGTTATGGTACGGACGTTAGACAATAGAAGGCTCAGCGGAGACCGGAACGGTTTTTTAATGTGAAGACAACAACAACAACAACATCCACAACAACAACAACAACAACAACAACAACAACAACAACAACAACTAAACAGAGACCTCCACTCTATCTGGTCGTCTGTCGGTGTTTGATGATCATCGTCCCGCCGCGTCCTCATCCGCAGGCACTGGGCGCCAGAGGACGACGACCAGGAGGGTGAGGGTTCGTCGGTAGAGCGGAAGCGGAAGCGGAACGGGGAGAGCTCGACGGCGACGTCCCTCGTTGACCCTGAGAACGGGAACGAGGAGGCCAGCAACGGGCAGGGGGCGGGGGGAGCGGGATTGGCGGGGGCGCCGAGCCAGGCGAAGAAGGTGTTTGATATTTCAATGGAGATTTTTTTTTTTTTTTTGGGAACACAAGGAATTCATCTCTAACGTTTGTATCATGAGATCTTGCTTTTCTTGTTGGAGCACAACAAGCTCATCTCGTACAACCTTCGTAACGTACTTCGAAGTACTGTACCTTCTTTTTCTCTGTTGCAGCACAAGGAATCCATCATCTTGCAACCTTTGGAACGTACCGCAAGAGGCGGAGGGATGGCACCCCCGTCTAGAGCGACTTCCATAGCTTGATTGCTCCACAAACAAGCTTGTCTGTACCGTACCGTATACCGTACCGTGGTAATCCGTAAGAGTCGGAGAGATGGCACCCCCCCTAGACCGATTTTCAAGGCTCGATTGCTCCACAACCAAGATATTGTTCCAACACCAAGAACGTTCGTTTTGGAAACATCTCGTCGAGGAGTTTCCGTAGACGTATCGGGCTCTTTCCGCACCCCCCTTGGCTATGGAGCAATCGAGCTTCGAAAGTTGATCTAGGGGGGGTGTCATCTCTCCGCCTCTTGCGGTACCGTTTTTTTTTCTTTTTTTTATTGTAACGCAACGGAATTCATCTCTAACAACGAAGTAATCTCTCACCACAGACAAGGAGTCCGGGGTCAAAAAAATCCATAGCGTTAGCGGGAACACTACCTGTGTTTCTACGGTTCCCTCTTGTTTTCAGGCCCGTTTTCTTGTACAGCAGGTAGTGAGGGGCCCGCTTTAGTGCGGCTTGAAATGCGCTGTTGCCCGATATAATAGTGCGGGTAGAAATTGGCTTGGCACAGATGGAGTAATCAAGACGTTTTACTTCGTTGTATAGTGCAGGTCTCCGCTATTGCGTGGGTGAACGCGCTTCGCACATACCTGCATTATATAGTGGGACCCTGACCGTACATGTATCTCTGAGGAACAGCAGTAAGAGGAGTGTTGTGCCTTTGAGATGTCCGGGTGGCGAACCTTGTGTTTGTGTTTTTACCCCCGTGTTTTTGTGTCTGGTGATCCTCGATTACGGTAGCAGTCTTCCTCTCTCCCAACGAGCAGAAAATAAATGGATTATGCTGCCTTTGGTCCCCGACTTGTTTCATTGGGTGTAGCTCATGCATTCGTGAGAAAGCAACCGACATCGGGGAATGGCGAGTAGTGTCGACGCGCCGCCAAGCAGAGGCGGGATAAGTTGAACTACACCCCCCCCCCCCCCCCGGGGCCCCAAGGCGGCATATTTTTTTTATTAGATACCCAAAAAAAAAAAACAGGGGGCCCTCCCTCC